CTACCTTACGAAGCAAAGAAACTTCCTCTACACACTAGAGTAACACAGATCGATTGTGTTTTGGCAAGTGTGGGGTAGTGGAGACATCAAGGCGTTGTTGCGGTCTGCCTTCTCACTTCATGGACCTACCATTTGCCGAGATGGCGAATTCCCTCGAGCTTCGTGACTTAAATTCTATGCGGCGCGTACGTCGTGAGTAATACATGCTAAATGTGGATAAGATTCGAGAAGAGACAAGTCACAGGATTCTTCTAGCTTGTAGAATTTACCCTACCTCTGTTTTTCCCATTCATCTTGTTGCTGGCTGGCTTCATGTCTTTGGAGAAGCCACAACGTGGGGCAACCACGGCTCGATCAGTTCTCGGACTTCCTGAAAAGATCATGACTACAGAACATGTTCTGATAGAAATGCTCAAATCCAGAAAAGTGTGAGGCATATTTTACTGACCCCATGGTTCGGAGCAGGAACTTACTAACCTTTCTCGCTTCGATAACAGTAACCGGTTGGCATTACAAGGTTCGAGGCTGATTCAACTGGTTAGTAAAATTGTTTCTTACATTACTCAGTCTACTATAATCTGGACATTCGGCTCGCATGGAGGAGCACGTGGATTATTCTGCACAACCGGAGCATGTAGAAGCATTTCTTAGGAGAGACAAGTTTTCCTAATCGTGAGATTTGTATCTGCAGCACTTACGAAGGCGTATTTCAACGTGAAGGTGCAAAGCAGAGTGGATGGTTGCTCCGACTTATTCTGAGATGGTAGACCTTAGCCTAACAGCTTACGCTGTAGAATTCACATCGAGGACCATTATTGCCAAAACAGCAAAGAAAGTTAACAGACGTATTCACAGTATGTCTTTGTGAGCTTCTACTCACCAAGAAGAAGACCACCCCTCAATCATTTTCGCCGACCTTCCTGAAAATGAGATTGCGATAAATATGTAAACAGCAGCATGCTAGCTTTGGGTTTCAAGGTCCAATAACTCATGTACTACAGCCATGACAAACTCACAGGAACATATGAATGAATCAGTTATCAAGTTATGGAATGCTGTATCTCTGAGTCTGCGACAGATTCAAGTTTTTGTTCAGAAGCAGTGCCTTGAAATAAGTCAGAAACATATACATGATGCGGAATGAATGAGAGACATTTAGCTTCACATTTAGTTCTATTTATACAGCTCCCCTGTAGAGAACTTACTGTTCAATTTAAAGGACAGACTGCTTGACTATTTTGAAAGAATCCGTTTATGATCTAAAGTTTGTGAACCTATTTGAAAATCAAGTTAGTCGTCAGAGTTGGAGTGACAATGATTTGACAAGGTATAAATTTAATTTATTTTTAAAAGTGATAATACACTACATACATGTTACTGTATCCTTAAATTTTCGTTATCGTGATGTTTTAAAACTAATCGTGATGTTTAAAATTTTTAAAATATATGTAATTTATTATGTGAAAATTATGAAATATTTTTACGTTGAAATATCCTAAATAAAATAAGAATGTGATCATGTACCATGAAGTATTTCATATTTCAATTCGAATTAGTTTCAAATAATAAAATCAAGATGCAAGTGCTATTCTTAAAATAGTTAGAAAATCATTGACATTAGCAAACTTATGATGGAATATATGCCAACAAGATCATTAGTCTAGATTAGACTTAATTAAATTTTTTGAATTTTTGACATAAATCTAAACTTTGACAATTTTTCAATCTTTTCTAATCATGATTGCTATTGATAATCTCATGATGTATTATATATGTATGTTGAATCATTTCTTCAACGACACTAAACCTAGAGTATGTGAGGACTGAACCAAATACTTTTAAATTTCAACTTTCTGTATTTATACATATAAATAAATAGATATTGTTGAGGTTAACTTTGGTTAATGAGTAGCTATTATTAGCTAGGAGTGTAGTCGGTGCTAAGATATATATACCCTAGGGTTTGTCTATTGTATAACACACTGAAAACACTATAACCTGTGATTTAACCCTTTGTTGTAAACCACGTTACATTTTGGTGTTATTTGTTTACTGGAACTCAATCTTGCGTGTTTTGCACTAATTGATATTAGTTCAAGTTTTTTATTTCAATTCATTACTTGTTTTAAACATCATGCACACAAGATGAAAGCCACGCAGCAAAAGATCTACTTGATTTTTTATCAAAAAAATGTACTTTTCCTTTTTTCAATATAAACTTAACTTTGAATATCAAATATGAATAAAATTTTGAGGTTATAAATAATTCAAGTAATTACATGCAACCTATTCATGCCTAATTTAAATTTCTTTGAAATTTAAAATTAGCAAATTTGACTTATGATGTTATAAATATATATTTTATATTAAGATTTAATTTTAGATTTTTAAATTTATTTTAATGTAAAAATTATTTTGATAATCTGAAGATTAATATTATGATATGCATGCAAAATGCAGACGTTTAATTATGTGATTAGCCATGTTATTAACAACATGAAGTTCAAATGAATTGTTCATGCAAATTAAAGTGCTTTGTTTTTAAAATATCTCAAATGAGTTTTTATATAAAATTGAACCACATAATAATTGTGCAATGACTTTCATAAGCAATATATTTGAAATATTATATGCAAGTTTGAATCAAATTTCATGGTCATGCAATCACATTCTTATGAGCTGAAACAATACATGAGTGGAAAAGCGGATGAGCTGAAGTGCCAAACTTAAACATAATACTAGAATTACATTGAAGTCATCCAGAATATTGATAAAGTATTAATATAAAGTTGTAAGAAATTTATGTTGATCTCGTGATACAAAGTGATAATATAGTTTGATTGAACTTTTAAATGAAGTGAAAAACAATTGATACAAAATGCCAACTTTGAAACTAAAAATAGCCAAACTAATAAGTATGTTATGACAAAATATCAAGGAAAAAATTTTGCAGGGATGTTGAAAATGAAAAATCTTGAAAGAGGGTGTTAAGAATGAAAAGACAAATGTGAACTTACAACATTTGAATCGGAAAAAAAGTGTAATTGTGAGGATGATGTTGTCTAAAAGTGGTAGTAAAACAAAACTGGGCTTAAGTGTTAGAGGTATCAAGCGAGAAAAATACAGTTTCAAATTATTGATAAGGTATCACTTTCACAACAATTGAAACAAAATATGAGAATAAAAAATTTTATAAAAAATAAAGAGTCTGAAAAGTTCATCCACAAGGTGTGAGAGGGAGAGTCAATAATTTGAAAACTTAGAATAAAAAATTTCAAAGAATGCAAAACTTTATCAAAAATAAAGAGTCAAAAAAGTTCATCCACATGAAGTGAGATTGAGAGCCAAATCTGTTGCAAAGGGAAAAAAAATTCTTGACCTAAAGTCTTGAGTGAATTTCAGAATTAGATTTGTTTTGAGTGATTACAAAAGCATTGTAAAGTTTTTGAACAATTTGATTTTATAATCAAGAAGATAAGGATCCCAAAAAAAATTTAGGCTAAACCTTTGAATTGTTTAGATTAGTTTCGAGTGCAAAAAGTTAGTGTAAGCTGGTACAAACTTGAAATTGCAAGATTGCTACTAACTTTTTGAATTATGAATGAAACTCTAGTTGAACATTTTGAACCATTATTGTTGTGAGTTCTTAAGCAATCTGATTTGAAGATGAAATAACTTCGGATCTAGGTTTCGTTCAAGTTCACAATTTCAATATATTTGAAGAAGTTTTTTGTGTAAGTTACGAGCTTGAAGATAGCACAAAATCAGAAGTAAAAGATTGCAACTAACTATAAGCTTCAAATTGCAAATCACATTAGTTTAAAATGTCATGAAGTTTAACTTGCAAGTTATCCGTGAATATTAGATTGGCTCTCATTGATTGACAAGGAGTGTACAAATACAGTTGAGAGACTTTGATGACTCCAACAGTTGTATTGTATTGTAAAGTATGTGTTAATAACTTGTGTGAAATGCATAGCTTCTTCATTTTGATCTTAGAATGCTAAACTTACATATAGTCACAACTCAAATTTTATGTGTGTGCTAAGAAAATAATACCTGTAAATTCTAAACAAGTATAAAACATCAGTTTTGTTACTTGTTTACTTCATTGAAATCAATTTTTATTTTTCTTTTGATTATTTATGAAAATAGAATCTTCACATATATACAATGCTACAGTTTTTTTCCTATAAAGAAAATATATTATTGAAGTAAAAATTTTTAAATTGTTGTTTTAGTGTGTAGATCAAACGTTTGAATTCCACTAATGTAATTGAATGAACATGTGTATTATTAAAAAATAATAATATAGGCATCTCACAAGTTCATCGTCAAGAATTAATTATGTTATACCATGAACGATATATTCGCGATTCGGGTCAATACACCAGAAGCTGGAGAGAGAATAGGTTCAACTATCAACTACTCGAATATGTGTAGCGTCAGTGGTTTCATTATCCAAGGTTTCACAAGAGAGTCTCACAACAACAACAAAACTAAGACCCTTTTACATATATGTGGAAACCGATAGCCATGTAAAGAAGCTGACGATAGGAGATAAAATTTTCGAGATAAAAGTCCTATCGGATTGAATTCTTTAAAAACAATCTGCTCTGATGTGAAGTCCTGCCGCTAATCGTGAAACGCCGTACTTTCAGGAGCCTATCTCAACATCGATCGCAAACTTATGTGATCAATGCTACTGATATCGATAATATAATTGGGGTGGAGCAGAGACAAACTTGCACAATGAGTTTCACTTATACCATACCAGGAGAGCAATTAAAAGCTCCAAAATTTAATTTCTCTCTACGTTAAGGCCGGGTTCTCCTTCACTTTTGGGATCTTCAGTTGCGGTTCTTAAACCGCAACGGTGCCCCAAGGTGGACGTTGAGTAACGTGGCAAAGACAGTAAAATTACCGGTGCCCACTCTCCGTTGTCGAGCTTGGCATATATGTCTGCGATGTAAGCTTCGGATTGCTTACATCTTCGGCATTTGCTTTGGTCTCCGTGTGTTTCGTTACAGAAGCAGGTCTGGCTTCTCCTTGTGCTCTGCGCAGTCCTTGTATATCATGCTCTACTTCAGCGTTGGAGCCAGTTGCCACCAGAGGCTTGACCATCCGGTCGAGGATCAGGGATCTCGTGCATCTATCTTCCCGGGGATTATGATTTGAGTCACTATTGTCATACAGCATGAGTTTGGAGAAGATACGTGGAAGTTCTCAATCGGAGCGAACAGAATCTTCTGCTAAACCGTATCTGTAGTCAACAGGTTAGAAGACGAAGCTGAGGTCATGCTACAACATACTGGGCTCTTGCAGCAGTTTGGCAGGCAGCTTGGACATCTGAAGTGAATTATCTGCCCATCCAGAGCAGAATGTCCAGAACTGTCATTCTTAGCGTGGTAGTCGGAGTGTTCATAATAATCGCGTGCTTATCTATGGCCCTTGATTGGTGGGGTAGGCGAGATCTCAGGCGAATGGCGCAGTCTCAGGTTCAGGGTCAGGTTCAGCCTCAGGCCATGGGCAATCATGAACAATTGGATCACGGTCAATTGAACCATGTACAATTGGATCAAGATCAATTAAATCATGATCAATTGGATCACGATCAATTAAACCATGAACAATTGGATCAAGATCAATTAAATCATGATCAATTGGATCACGTTCAGTTAAATCATGAACAATTGGATCAAGTTCAATTCAATCATGAACAGTTGGATCACGATCGATTAAATCATGAACAATTGGATCACGATCAATTAAATCATGAACAATTGGATCAAGATCAATTAGATCGTGATCACATACCGAATGGTCAAATGGATGAAGTCGATTGATATCCATCCTAGAACGATGATCGGGGATGCATGAGATATGGATACTTCAATAAACTATGTGCAACTGATGAAGCAACTGCAGTCGAATAGGAAGGTGGACGTCATGACGTCGTTCCTTGCTGCTTCAACTCCATTTCAACCTGCGTTCATTCGCAAGTCCATCCAGATGATGATGAAGGTCCAGGCGACTTGAAGAAACACCCAAGGATCAGACAGAAATCAAGATGAGGCAGAAGCAGGTACCCATAGAACCTCTGCCTTCGATTCCACAAGTCCAGGAGCCGTTGAGTCTGAAAGATAATGAGTGAAAGCACGATCGAGTGTGCGTGTGTGTGACAGGTTCTGATCGACTTTCTTCAACTCTCCCTTCGGATCTTGAGTTGACAGGAGTTGGAGCTGCCGCTCAGATCCTCACTCGAAATCGAGTGATCATCGAGTTTTTCGACGTTGTCATATCTGACTCCATCAGTGTTCAAAATGCACGCACGTTGCGATTCACAGCGCCGGCCAGTAGTTTGGAGTCCCAGCTAGATGGCAGTTCAAACAGAGGAAACGAATCTGTGACTCATCTAACTGACGGTTCGAAGCCTAGCGGATAGATTAACTTTCAATGCATTTTCTCAACGTCCATGTCGTTGAACCAAGTTCTGCCTGCATTTGCGCCCGTCGAGTTCCAATTCTGAATTGGACCGGATCTTCGTGGTTCTTCGAATGGCCTGTCGTCTAGAATGATGATGTGATGGATATTGTTCGTGAGGTTCCGGAGCAGAATTAATGATTTCCGATTCTTTAGAATCTGAAGCCTAGCTTCTAAGAGATGTACTGAGACATTTCATTTTTTATAAATGAAATGGTATTGAAACCCCTATTGCTCCTTGGAGTCATGTTTGCTTTCACTCTCATTTGCTGTGGAGTTGTAGGTTCTCAATTGATTCTGAGAGACATGCTTTGATGGATTTGGCTGTTGTTGCGGAAGAGTCACCTTCTGATTTTGCGAATGTACCCTTGTGCCTCCGCATATTCGACCTGTTGCTAGAATGTGTCAAGGTTATCGTAAGTTCCAAGATGTTGATCGAGTTCGAGAGCTTCAGGTCGAACATTTTTGCTCCAGGAAGCTCAAAGTCATGGCCAGGGAATTCGCATTGAAGAGCCGCAAACGAGGTTGATCATTTAAAGAGAATAGCAAGGAATTAAGCAATGTCGTCGACCAGACTCATTCGTCAGGAGCTCTAAGAATGTCTACATTTGAACTGAGTAGGTTCATAAGGAAGGCTGATATTCCGAGACTTGAAATATAATTAGCTCTATGCCCGATTCCTATTGTTTCTGCTCGTTTGTTGCAAAGATTGTTCGATTGAGATTTGAGCGACAACGAAGGAATCTTAACTTTTCGAAGCTGCTTACTGAATAAGTTTGTATGTTGATCTCAATACGAGATTACCAGAAGCCTCAATCAAACGTCTGATAATAGACACGGAAGTTTCTTCGCAGTTGTCTCCTTAAATCTTTTGAGTAAGTAATAGTAGATAGATTGATCGGTCTACAGGTCTAAATGTGTGTTACATATGATCGTCATCATACTTGCTTGCGCATCTTGAGGGCATATCTTGATTTGATTTTTGAGACTCAGTGCTTTAGCATACTTATTTTGAATCAAAATAAACCTACAACGCCAAACGATATGATGATTATAAAAAATTGATGAACAGATCCAAAAATATCTCTTTCTGAATAGGAAAAGTTTATTTAATAATATGAAATAAGGATTAACAGGAAACCTTTTAAAGACTTAGGTTTTGTCCAAGGAAATCAAATATTTGACTTAGATTTTGGAAACATTCATTTTGGAAACACTTTTTTGAGATATTTCATTTATGCATCTCTATAAACTTATCGTGTGATCTTGGCATGGAGATTGATATTTGTGGTAGATCCGCATGTAAGACTTTTCTGAGAAGAAATAATGTTGAATTGCTAGTATACCAAGATGACCAAATGAATGTAGAATGGAAACATTAATTTCCTTTACTTTCTTTTACATTCATCTCGCTTTGTCTTAAAGTACAAGCAATTGAAACTATTTTATTCTTGGTAAACTCAGGTATGTATGTCTAATGTCACACTATAATAGCGCGAAAATGTTTAGATGCAGATTTTTTTTGGAGTACAATGTCCTTTATGATTATCCAAGATCTCAGAATCGATCCTGTAATATAATGAGCAGCGATCGTGTAATAGAATGAGGGCAATGATCTATTGATTTTATTACACGATCGGTGCTTTTCTTCCCTTGAGTTCCGTTTGCTTGGGTCGTTGGATAAAACCCCATGAATAGTCGCACGTAACAGCGCCTTCAGAGTCGCTCCGACGAGCTTGAATCTCACGAGAAGGTGTGCATCAGATCTGGATACTACGATTGAAATGCCGATACTCAGATGGACTCAATGATTCTCTAATCACCGAAGTTTACTCGAATTTGCATGCTAGTCACTGTAAATGGAAAATAGACCCAACTATCTCAAAATATTACGTTGGTAAGACCACATAGTTTCGTTTCACCACCAGTTTCAGACTAAGGATACTAAAAAAAACCTTCGGCAAATTCAGGTAGATTTCATCCCAAAAAGAGAACCTTTCACGACAAATACGAAGGAACCTGCAAACAAGTGCAGAGCACATTTCAAAGTCATCTTTTCCATCACCGTGGTCCTCTCTTACTAGTTAAAAAAGTGGGAGTAGGCTTGAATGAAGTGAAACGGTGTGACGAGAGCTCATTGAGTTACGCTGGAAATTTTTGCCAGGTCTCAACTTGGACCCAAATCCGGATCAGCCCACCCGAGGACGCGATTTAAGAATATCACGTCAAAATTAATGTCTGCTCTGATTCAACCTGCACGTATTAAGCTAAATCTAGAGCCCCTCGCAGCCAAACCAGTTATCAGTTTTTGCCAGGTCTCAACTTGGACCCAAATCCGGATCAGCCCACCCGAGGACGCGATTTAAGAATATCACGTCAAAATTAATGTCTGCTCTGATTCAACCTGCACGTATTAAGCTAAATCCAGAGCCCCTCGCAGCCAAACCAGTTATCAGCCGCACCAGTTCGATAATGGTTTGGATGCTTCTATCAATGCCGTCCTCACTCGGATTGTACAGTTTTTATGGGGTTACTGGTTAGTAAAACTCTCATAATGACTTTCACTAACATAGCGAAGGCATTTTACTCCAACAAAACTGAGCTTGCAGTTACAGTATATAGGGTTTCCTGCATTTGTTTGAAGAACAGTTCGTAAACATTTCTCAAGTTTGAAATAGTCTACCCCACCAATAAGTAAAAATCTTGGTTTCCAAAGTATCCACTCTATTGATAGTGGCTCGAGCATTTAGGCTCCTAACTATTACAGCAAACGTCACAATTTGCAAAAACATAGTTCAGAGACTTCGAAGTGAAGCAATTCGTTGACAACTTCTATCCCACATAAGTACCACCATTTTTTCAATCGTTAAACACAGAGCCCCTCGAAGCCAAACCAGTAAAGCCGAACCAGTAATCAGCCGCATCAGTTTGATTAAGGTTTACATGCTTTTTTTTATTCCTTCCTCACAAGGATTGATTGATGGATTAGGGTTACTGGGCATGAATCTTTGCCCCTGTGGACAAAATAGACAATTTGAAGAAAAACGTTTCCTTGCAGAACTACCTGAGAAGACATTGTGTCAGAGGTGGAGTTCAAGTCATTTGTGTATTTGTACAAGAGGATCTGAGTTTCTGCAAGAGGATCTAAGAACCTCCAGATCTGGACCATATTATTTTCTTGTGGAAACTGTGAACAACATTTGAAGACACCGAGACAACTTTCTGTAGTCAAGGTCGCAATAATGCGGCTTTCCAGGAAGCCGCCACGATATTCATGACCCCACATGGGTTTTTCCATAAATCCCCGTTGCCTAGGCTCAACAACGTAAACAAAGCATTTACATGATGATCAGATCGACTACTTCCATCTGCTTGACTTACATAAGCAGTACAGTTCTGTTGAAAGCGGAAGGAATTACTTCACTTCATTTTAACAGCGAGAAAGCGATATTCACATGCAGTTCTGGCCTAAGAGAGAAACAGTGCTCGAACTATCAAAACATTTCAAAGCCAAACGCACAAATTTCGAAGTACAGATTACGGCCAGCGCAATCTGGACTTCGAAGGGCGTGAGAAACAGAAACCACAGGCACTAAATTGGTTTTATTGCACAGTAGATGAAACACGATAAATAATGTCTTCAAAACTTACACGGCATGTGCATGTAAAGACATGTACATTCATCTGATCAGATCTAGGGACTGAAATCGTAAGGTATCCAAGTTTTCATAGTTACACTGAAGAGAACGGAGATAGCTAGCCAGCCCAGCAGGAAGGCTGCCACCTTATTGTTTCCTTCTTCATCAAAACTCCTCATCTGTTTGCAAAAATGACTTCGTCAGACCTTCGGTGAGCAACACAGCTCGTAATATATCGACCAGATCGGTCGAGGATTCATTCGGTCGTTAGATTAGTTAGGTCAAAACATAGACCAACAACGTTTACGGAACATGATATGAGTCTGAGAAGTAAATTGGACTACAGCCTCTCAAACATGACCTTAGCAGTGAAGATTTCCAGCGGGCTTAATAATGAGAGGTCGGGAGCCTTACCACTGCTGGAGTATCTTTGCCCGTATATTTCTGTGTGATGTCCGTCTCATAGGGCCAGATGTAACCACCCTCACGATTTTCATAGCGTTGGAGAGCCCAGTCGTAGACTCTTCTTTCTTCCGTTGTAGACAAAGTCTCGAAAGATGCCTGCAGGTGATTCAAATATTGTCTTGTGACAAACAATGTCAGTAAATATCTTAAAAACTTCAGACGGCCTGCTAGTACTAAATCCGACTGTGCTTGGTAGTTGAGGTTGCTAGAATGCAGTATTGTCGAAGAGCAGAAAGGAGTAGCGCTCGAGATAAAAGAGTCCTCAAGCCATGACCACATCTGAGCCAAAATCAGCAGTGAAGGGTCTGAAATGAGGCAAGGCTTTTGATCTGTTCAGCGCAGGATTTACCTGTAAAGCTCGGAGCTCAGCTTTCGATGCCTCGTCATCCACAGCTCTGTTTTGCATCACCTCTTCACATCTTTCCTTGAAGGCTTGCGCAATCTGAGCACAATCATCAGATCAGTTACATGACACAAAGCAGAAGTCGAATCCCGGATTCTGGTCAGAACAGGAATCGTTCATGACACTTAAAGTGACGGACGAATCTGTCCCCATGGCTGAAAAGAGTAAAATGTGCTCATTGATATGACATCTTAATTCGGCAGAAGAATCAAGACAAGGAGACTGGACTTCACCTGTGAAGTCGAGGCTCCGACTGGCACCCGCAGCACTGAGTAGTGGTTGACCTTCAAAACTCCTGTACTCTAGTGTCGGCATGATCAATACAGAGTCGATTTCATTCTCTCCAGCTCGAAAGGAGAAATCCAAAAATTTATCAATTTTCAACAACCAGCTACGGAGTCAAATTTGGTTTATATCAAGAAAATTATTAATTCATGGATCCAGGCAGCTCAGACTGTTGCGAGGGCGGAGATAAACATTCAATTCACAGGGTACATTCTCCATGAGGCTCAAAATGACCGACGGCATTAGCCGAAAATTGAAGGAAAGAGAAGAAGTATTTACCTGCGGTTCCTTCGAGAGAGTCGAGCTGAGGAGTTCTGGAGACCAGAGAGGTAGGAAGATTTTCGACAGCCGGTGCATCAACAGGGTTCGTCTCGAAAGCAGTGGGAGAGTCAGCGCTGCAAGCTCTTGCACCGAGACGACGGCGAGAAGAAGAGAACACTGTTCGAGTCGACACCGGGAGAAAGCTGCAGAAGCACTGAGCGGCCGCCATGACTGCGTGCGTGCGCGCCTGCCAGCTCCGCCGATTCTTAATTCATGAAATTCTGTCAAATCCGACCAGGAATTTTCACGGCGATCGCCGTCCTCTGTCTAATTTTCGGGCGATGGTGAATCGGCTCGTCGCTTGGCTCAGTGCTCGTCGTCCACTTCCCTTTGGTCTGGCTGGGCCCACCGCACGCTATCCATCCCGCCGTGCGTGCTTTCTGCTCCAATGTTCCACAACGCTCTGTGTCCGTTGCTCCCAAAGAAAGTCAGTCCATGTACACCACAATAACATTCTCGTCGACTATCACTTGCTCCTATTCATTCGCCTTGTGTTACACCACGTATCATAGTGTAGTTAATCGACAATTTGCTAGGCACACTGATCACTCTTCTTCGTGTGTCTTTCATTGGATTCAAGAGCGAAGTGATTATTTTAGTATAGAAGACTCTATATCAATCACCGTAGAAAATCAGCCATTTATACTAACAAATATCTGTTATCATGCACTTATTTAAATCCACGCTAATTTTACACATGTAATGTATCAATCTTGATTGATTTTTGGTTTACATTCAAAATTCAGTTTCCATTTTTTTATTGATGAGAAACCTGAGAAGCACATGTGTCATCAAATATTTTTTTAAAAATAAATTAGACAGATATTGAGTTACTTATATAATTTTAAATTATCAAATGTCATAAAAACCACATCTTATACATTCAATTGTGAACACAAAAAAATTTTATTTCGCAAAATCTTAGTTTGGAATTTTTGTAAATCAGTATATATAAAGTAAATCAAAATGTTCAACATTGTATATCCTTATATTTTGATGAATTTTATAATTTTTTAATAGACACAAAATATTTATTAGAAATATGAAGATGTACAAATTATTATATAAATAAGAAATAAATTTTTTAAATTTTATATATTATTAAAAAAAAATATTTACCAAAATTCAGAAATGAAATTTTTATAAGTATTTATAATTGGAAATACTTTTCAGAAATTCTATTTATACTAATCTAGACTATTGATCTTTTGTATACAAATTTATATTTCATTGTGTCAAGCTTCTTATGCTGTAATCAAGGTTGGTTAGTCAACTTAATTCTCGAAATTAATCATTATTATATTACATCTGAATCTATAATAGATCTAAAACTGGAATAAATTGCCTAAAATCTGCAATAAAAAACTTTCAAAAAAATGAAAATTTTCATGAATATCATGTGATTGTAGTGATTAATATATTTCATTTACTAAAATAAAATTGATTAACTATTTCATTTAATACTATTTCATTTACATCATCAAAGCTAGTTACAAAAGCAGATTTATGCAAAACAAAGGAATATTTCATTCAATATGCATTTGTTAATGAACTTGCAAAGCATTAAAAAAATACCTTATAAATTTTATTTTTATGTACTTTCAAGTATGAAGTGTTATCAATACTTCAGTAAAATGAATGCTACATCAGATAGATATAATACCATAGATTTATTTAAAATTATAATATTGAATATCTATACTGTTTCAAAGAATTCTCTATGATTCATTAACACAATGATAGTATTTAGTATTTTATCGTCTGAACTTAAGAAAAGTAACTTTTAGCTCATTTCTTTTATCAAAGAGGTTAGAACTAATTTGTACAAATATAAATTATATCTTTTATAAGTTAGAAATTTTATTTTTTAAACCTAACAGATTTTATTTCAAATGATTCAAGAAAATATTCAAAAGTTGAGTAAAAAAGTACTTTGAAATTTTTAATCTATATTTAGGGTTGAAATGTAAAGTAAAATAAAATAAAATTTATGCAACTTCTAAATAATTGTAATATAATGTAGAAAAATCATTTATTAGATTCAAGAGTCTTATGTGTTAGAAGATGTAATGATTTTTGAGTTTGGATATGTTGGATAAAGTCTAAACCAAATTGTATTGATTATCACAATAATTTGGGATCATCTATCATATTACAAATTTAAAAAAAGATTTGATAAGAAAGTTTATCGCAATTGAAAGTGTTATTAAAATAATGTGTCAATATCTATAGGTTGATTGACTATATATATGATTTTCTTTGCTTAACATTCGTTACATCAGATTAAACTACTAAAATTAATTCAATTAATAATGTATTATAAATATATACAGTTTCTTTGCTATATAAGTATCAAGCTCAACATATTCTTCAATGAAAATAAAATCTTGAAGATGTTTAAATTGGAATGATTTGAATCACAATTCTTGTAAGCGTTCTACTTACAAGTAGTGCTATTGAGTTCTTCCTTTTATATAGTCATTTGACCCGATTGTATTATATATTTTTGAAATTGAATAAGATATATTCTAGAGACAAAATTAATACTGATTTCAATACTATTTCTAATGTCTCATGTTGATTCGTTTCGCGAAGATGTCTTAAGTTTCAAAGTATTTTCAAAGTGTTATCTCGGCTGATAATCGGGATTCCTGCAAGAGATGAACGCGAGAGCACGAGAAAATATAAAAGCCTGGCAGACAATACTCGCAAGCAAATGGGCTGAAGTCACAATCTTGCCACACGATCACGAGATGAGCACAGGGAAGGTTTCCGTGAGAAGAATCTGCGCTCCCTATCGCGTGGCTGCGAGGCGAGCGTGGGTCCCACGACAAATCCTCTTCGCGTCCGAGGTTTGTCGAGCATTCTCACTCGCTACTTGCTCCGCTCTGGGCCCCGAGTGGGCACTGGGCTATGGTGAAACTCTTCCTGCGCCTCTGAACACATCGATTCTCCGATCTTTCGACGCGAGCACAGCTAGTTCTGGTCAGAATCCCAGCGGCTGGTGGCAGCTGGGCCTCGCCGACCGGTGGCTCGCGGAATCCCTCCGTCTTCCCTCCGAATTCTCAGCCGGATCACCGCTTCGGTGGGGCCTGGATTTCGATGCCAATCGCAAGTCGGTGGTTGAAGTTCAATTTTGATTCCGGTATGTGAATGTTGCAGTGAGGAGGTCCAGTTCTCGGCTTGTTTGTCGACTCGAACAGGTGGAGCGAGGCGAGGCGAGGCGAGGCGAGGCGAGGCGAGGTGAGTTGAGTCGGTGGCTGAAATGGCAGCCACTCCAGCTCTATCGAGGGGTGTCGTGTGCTCTCGTTTCTCCGAGCTGTCTGCGAAGACCTTGGTGGCGACCTCCGCGTCGACTTCCTCCGTGCCCTCGTTATCAGCTCTGTCTCTGCGGTGCCCCGTTCTCAAGAGCTCCGTGGGCGGTGTCAAAGTCGGTTCCAAGCCATGGGAGAATTCATGCAGCCAACTCTTGGCCGTGCAGCTCTCGGGGAGCGGGCAGAGGAGGAGCGCAGGGTCGGTGACTCGATGCGTACAGACCGAGAAGGCAATCGTTCAGGGCAGGACCGAGGACGAAGAGGAGGGCCACATTGTGGACGCAGAGGACGAGGAGGGAAGTGACAACGACGGACGAATTTCGGAGCCAGAGGACTTCGGCGAGGTGGACACGATTCTGGCCAGCCGAGTCGTCGATAGGCAGACTCAGTACCTAATAATGTGGAAGGATGACCATCCCGACAGCTGGGAACCGGCCGAGAACATCGCCAAGGACGTGACGGCCGAGTATGAGACCCCGTGGTGGCAAGCCGCCCGAAAAGTGGACGTCGATAAGCTCAAGGCCTTGCTCGATGCCGAAGAAGTGCAACGAGATGTGAACGCCATCGATGAAAATCAAAGAACAGCACTTCATTTTGCTGCCGGACTTGGGTCTGAGAAGGTGGTCAATCTCCTCGTCGAGTACGGAGCAGATGTGACTTGGCAGGTAACCATTTAATTCTTCTTCTCACTAAGGAACACCACAACTGCAAGTGAACCTTCTCTTTCCAGCCATGAAATGTGACTGCTGCTCTGGACATCACGATCGTTTAGTTTTTGAACGCATCCTCGGCTAGAAAAAACTCCGAAATGATTTTCAATGAACCGTTTTACTTGAGGTGAAGAAGATTGTGGAAGTGCTTTATCTAGAAGAATTCGTTCAACTAGCTCCGCAACATCGCTCTGCATCTGTCGGAACCAACAGATTTCGAGCGAAGTTTTTGAACTTGCTGGATTTTGTTACGGTTTGCAACTTGAACTTCCGAGCGAACGACATTATCGTTCTGAATATTCAAAGAACAAATCAGCATAAGAGATATCGAATCTGTACTCGTCTTTGTAAGTAAGAGGAAACTGCCGTGGTCGAGTTAGAAGCTTTCGAAAGTTCCAGTTTATTTAAAGCAAACCCTGGAAGAGCTACTAGCTGAGAATTCTCATCACTGAGTAGCAATGTAAAAGCGAAGTTGAATCATTGACACCACCGATACGTGCCTCCCTCTTGGAACCGCATCTTGCATCGATCTTTCGAGTGTCAATTAGGAGGTAGCTGAAGCATATCTGAGGTGGGAGAGCTGTGCATTCCAAAATACCATAGGAACTCAACCCTTGCTAGAAAGAGGATTGTTGCAACATGATTCATGTTACTCAAAGTGTAGATTTTTTTGTCACACCGTACTTTGCGTCCTGCGGTGAAAGTTTGCATTGTCTTTTGGGAAGCTGATGTGGAAGGAATTCACCAGAGTGGATCGAATGGTTTGTATATCACCTTGTGCGTTAAATTTCGATGTTGGTCTCTCTTTGACGATCCTGAAGACTGATACTTTTGCCTCACGCTGTTCCAGGATAAGGATGGTTTTTCTGCCCTACATATTGCAGCTGGTTACGTGCACACCAGTGTCGTGAAAGCATTAATTGCTGCAGGAGCCGATCCTGATCTCGAGGATGACAAAGGACGATCTCCTCTTTCACTTGCGCAAGAGCTACTGGACAGAACGCCGAAGAATAACCCACTGCAATTTGCGAGGAGAATAGCTCTGGATCAAGTGGTTAAAGCTTTGGATGAGGCCATGTTCGAAACTGTAGAGGTTGAGCAGATTTTAGAGAAGAGGACAGGGGATGATGGTGTGGCAGAGTACTTGGTGAAGTGGAGCGATGAGTCGGAGGATAGCTGGGTGCAGGCATCGGACATCGGAGAGGATCTCCTGAAGGATTTTGAGGATGGTCTAGAATATGGAATGGTAGACAAGGTTTTGATGAAGAGATTGATCGATGGCAAAGTCGAGTATCTCGTGAAGTGGACAGATGAGGCAGAGACTTGGGAACCAGAGGAAAATGTTTCGCCTGAAGTTATTGCAGAGTTTACTGCCAGCCTGCAAAGTCAACAGAGCTGATCTAGCAGCCCGTTAGGGACTTAGGAACATTATCGAGGTTTAGAAGTATAGAATGTAAAGTTGCAACTTGGAGCGGTAATTAGGACGGAAGGATGTGTGACACTTTGTCAAGAAAAGGGCCTGTCAGTCCTTCAATCAATATTTATCTTATCGCAGTTCAAATTCTGGCTCCTTTTATGATTCCTTCAGTAGACTTAGGTTTGTGAAGAAAAGCGCAATTTATCATAAGACATACACTTTGTAATATTGATAGGGTCGTGATGGCTGGAGCAGCCGTTCCGAGAGTGGACTGAAGGATCTCTTGACAGAGTTCGGAGGTGTGGCTTGAGTGCCAATTGTAATCTCGACAGTAGGGAGGCAGAGATATATCTTGTACACACGACGGACATCGCGGACACCTCAGGCGTCTGGTTTGTCCTAGGCTAATGTGAGATGTCCAAACTCACACACTTTATGGTTTTCTACGATCTGCAGATTGTTGGATGGAGACATGGACCGTCGCTGCCAAATCCACGGTATCGTACTGCCCCTCGAGGAAGTAAGTTGGTTAGTGCTCGTGGCAAATAAAACTCAAGTATTATGTTAAACTGCTACTCTTCTTAGCCTCGCGATTCTTCCTTACTTCCAGTCCCAGTTACACTTCGACTTTGTCTCCGAAATCTTCTCATTTCTGATTTCTACCGAAGGCTTCTTGTAACTAGAAAATGATATCCTTTACCGGTACAATGAGAAGTACTGAATATTAAGTAACGCAATTCAAGGACACCTGTACCTGAAGGATCGCTACTGTTGAGATGAACAGAAGCACCGAAAGTAGACCAGCATTCTTGTCAAATTCTTTTATCCACCGACCATCAAGAAGTGAAGAATGTGGAAGAGCTGGAGACGAACATCCGATGGAAGCTCAAAAGCGATATCGGAATAAAGACGAGCAAACGGGATCATCATGCGGATGATGATGTACGGACTGTGCATTGCCAAACCGTGAACGTGTTGGGCACTACATACACTCAACCTATTATCCCAAGGATCCTTGCATTAGAGACACCTATGGCACTGTTGAACAACCTCTGGAATCGGCATTTACAGAATTCATACTTGCACAATGCCGAGGTGACAACCATCAACCGGCTTGATAGTATACTCAACGAAATTAGGGAACTGTCGGAAAAGAGGAATCAGATATCAAATGACGACATCTCCTCCCAACCAAACTGAGTATTTGTCATGTGCTTCAACATGAGTACACATCAAAACCACGCTACGGGTTATAGTCACAGTACGCGTTGTGGAGTGAATTTCCTTCTCACCCTGCTCATTTGCACATTGAGATAGCTTGATGTTTGACTTGGCCACGGTATGGATGTCTACCCTGGCGATACACTGAACTCAGGCTTTCGCCGACTGAGCCGAGTGGCAAATCCAAATCCAAATCTGCAAAGTCTATCATTGTGTGAATGAAACACCAGGTCATTTGCCGCTCACCTGTCCAGTGCCCACCCATAAGAAGCCCCTTCCTTCTAGAGCCTAAATCGTACATCGACTGACCGTATTGCAGAGAGTCCAGACTGCAGGAGGATCTGAGGACAGCAAAGCAATCGTTGACTTCAGCTCAGCAGAATTGCCACTCTAACCCCTGAATGATGAGTTATCCAAAAGCAAAGTTGATCTGCTCACAGCGAGCATTTGAGCAGATAGATCGCCCTTTTATAAAAATGTGGAATTCATGTACAAAAGTCAATTTCCTGTAGTTGTACCCCGGATATTCTATTCAATCCTATTTACGATAGAAGGGAGGTTTCATTACATTTATGAATGGCAGAGTCTTACAAGACTGAGTCTTACTACTGAAATTCTACGGTGTCTAGTGGCCGTGCCGGAGTGGTTATCGGGCATGACTAGAAATCATGTGGGCTCTGCCCGCGCAGGTTCGAATCCTGCCGGCCACGCTTCTCAGCAACAAATGTTATTTTCTTGCTTCGGAAGCTGGATTCAAAATCATTCCTCAGCCTATTGCTGCTACTTTCTCGCTTCTTGCTTCGAAAGCTGAATTCAAAATCAGTTCTCAACCTGTTGCTGCTACTTTCTCGCTTCGAGGGATCTATTTGACATGTATGAGATTACACACCATGTTACATTTGACACATCAAGGGTGTTTAGCCATCCACACAGAAAGCTATGGACCTTATTAGTAAGGTGGTTAATGGAGCTTATAATGTTCGAGCTAGAGTCATAGTATCCTTGGCTATTACGTACTCCCCCGGGCTTCGGGGTAAGTAACTTGGGCAGATGCCACATGACCGCAGAGACCTGCATCGGGTACCCATACCCGAACCGATGGGTATGGATCGGGTTTGGACTAAGCTAGAAAGGTCCGGTTCGGGTTGGACTTTTCTTAATATGGTTTAGAAGTAGTATTAAGTTTAAAAATGGAAATTAGGATTACTTAGTAAATAGGTCGTGGAGTATTTTTTGACATCACACAGTATTAATCGCACTTGTTCTCATCGTCCGCCACTCTCGAGGTTTGTCATAGGTAACAATGACAATTGAGATGAGGTCCAAAGATATGTTCACCTTGAAGACAAAACCGATGGGTATGGATCGGGTTTGGACTAAGCTAGAAAGGTCCGGTTCGGGTTGGACTTTTCTTAATATGGTTTAGAAGTAGTATTAAGTTTAAAAATGGAAATTAGGATTACTTAGTAAATAGGTCGTGGAGTATTTTTTGACATCACACAGTATTAATCGCACTTGTTCTCATCGTCCGCCACTCTCGAGGTTTGTCATAGGTAACAATGACAATTGAGATGAGGTCCAAAGATATGTTCACCTTGAAGACAAAAATCACTTTAGATTTGCAGATTGAGTACAGTCTCTATTATTGAGTGAAAAACCGTAAAGCTAGGGCGGGTGTTTGGACATCGTTTTCGTTTGTTGCGATCAAGGAGACTGGCGAACATCTCTGTTATAGTGATAATTCTTTTGTCTGCTGCAACAAATGTCTCACTGTATATCAATATATCAATATAGATAAGCCAACGGAACCACCGCCATGTCCAAACACTCATGTGCGCCTGCAGAGACCAATCAAGTTATGACAGCTATAGCAACGCGCCGCGATGCGATTACAAGTGAGAAGAAACTCATCACGTGGCGATGGCGGACATGTGCGCTGTTGACATGCGTCCATTTCATATTGTGAAGGGCAGAGGGTTCAGTAACTATACACAGACCGTCATCAACATTAGGGTCAACTCTAAGGTGTGCATGCTTGTGGACAATATTCTTCCTGATCCAACCACAATCAGTAGAAATGTGCAGATGCGATCTAATGCTGGACGGAAAATATTGACTGCCGTCTTGAAGCCACATCTGGCGGAAGGAATTCAAATTGGCAGCACAACCAATATTTGGACCGATGACATCAACAAGGTATATTTCCTATCAGTCACTGTGCATCTCATCGATGACAAGTTCACTCTACATCACCGCACACTTGCATGCAGTCCGTTTCCTGAGCCGCACCACGGATCTGACGTCTTGGAAAAATATGAGGATGTTTTACGGAAGTTTGGCATCAATAGATATGATCATGTCACATTTGTCACCGACCTAGGCTCAAATATGCACTCTGCAGATGAGATTCCTAGTCTCGATGGTTGGCAACTGTGTTGTGATAACATCATTGGTACCATCCTAACGACAATTATCGACAAGAGAACTCGTATGGTTGAAGGTAAAAAATCTGCTTTCTTCTATGAGTTTTACCATCTAGCCCTTGAGTTGTTTATTACTATTGATTAGGTCAAAGCTCTCGTGACATATGTCAAACAAGCAAATCTTCACGATGAGATTGCAAAGACCCTCAAGCAGGAAAATGCGACACGATAGAATTCTGCCCTCCGTTGCATGATCAGCGTTGACGAGGCACTTCCAGAGTTAACCGAGATATTACATGCACGAGGTCGCGGATTGGTTTCCAAGGTCATCAAGATTGATCACGAGCTTCTCAAGGAGTTCATTGCTTTTTTTATGCCCTTTAAGGAGGCCACACTAGCTATGGAGATGTTTGCGGAGTCTACGTTACACTGTGAACTCTATTTTTGACAGAATATGCTAAAGCATTGCCAAGTTGTTGCGGCGGATATCACCACCAAGGAAAAAAATGGCACGATAACCACACTGAAGAAGGACTCTCCTGCATTCATCGCTTTGAAGCCAAAATTTGCGGAACTGATCAGGGAGAAGTTTATTTGGAGCGACATTCATGTCATTGCCGCCCTACTCAATCCCAAAACCAAGTGTCGTCTTGACAAGTTTGGCATCGACTCTGGCGATATTGAACTTGGCCAAAAAAATCTAGAAAATATGATGAAAGATCATATGTAGGCTTTGGCATCGGCAAGGGCAGTGTGCGATCCCATAAGAAATATAAAGAAGACAATCAACGTGTTGCGCGTTGTCTTGCCGAGTACAGTTTTGAGAGCAACAGCACCATCAAAGAAAAGCCTCTTGCCGATGACATGCAGCTTGATTTTTCTTTGATTACAGAACTCAACAACTATATTTGTCACAAGTGTAGCAACGATGAAAGCACACTTCTATCTAAATATGAAATTTTATTTTGGTGGATTATCCATTAAAACGAAATGCCTGTACTTTTTTGACTCGCTCGCTCTGTCTTGGCCATTCCAGCATCTAGCGCAAAATCTGAGAATAACTTCTCGGACGCAGGGAATACGATGAGCAAAAAATGCAACCAGTTGCATCCTTCCAAGCTCGACGATATCATGTTTCTAAGCTCAATGCTAATGTCGTCTACTGTCCAGATTAAGGTTCCATCTATCACCACATGCTAAATAAAGAAGTGCTGGATTGTTCACATCTGTACATGTTTCAGTTCCACAAAAAACTGAAAGCTAAATAAAAAACGTATGTTTTTTTTCTATCTGTTCATGTTTCGGTTCCATCAAAAATTGAAAGCTAAATAAAAAACGTATTTTTTTTCCCATCTGTATTTGTTTCGGTTCCACCAACAACTGAAAGCTAAATAAAAAACGTATGTTTTTTCCCCATCTATTTGGGTTCAGTCGGGTATCAATTCAGAGACAACTTGAGTTTGTTTTGGGTTTAGATTTTGTCTCTTTGGATATGGGTCGGGTATGAGTACCACAGCGCAGAATACATTGGCATGGATCGGGTTCGGGTTTGCTTTTTAGGTGTGATGCAGGTCTCGGCATGACCGGCAGCCCGCACTAACCTCATGGCTAGAAAATAATATAATTTTTGTTGGCCTCAGTCGGCCAGCTGGAGATAATCCCATAAACTCTACCACACTGCTGGCATTGATTTCGGAATGAAAAGGAGTTACCAACAGATATCTAGTGAAGTAGTACAAGGGAGGAGTAACTTGAGAAGGCGCGAAAATAAACATGGAATCGATCGATCCCAAAAAAATAGGGTTTCAAGGCGGAAGTGCCTGGTACTTCGCAACAACCGATTTTTTTGCCACGTAATATATCTTAAATTGCCGCTCCCTCTTGTGGTAAAGTGGGGAGCTGACCTGCCAATGACCGGCGAGGGTTCA